GATTCTCTCCCCCACCCCACCGGGGCAGGGGGAATGAGCGAGCAGCTGTGTGGGGCTTAGTTGCCAGCTGAGGTTAAACCACGACACAGAGCTGTAAAAACCTCTCATTTATCCAAATGCTAAAGCCTAATGATAGTCAAAATTTACCCAAGCGATAAACCAGTTAATTTTCACCTGCACTAACTCCCTGAACCAGCTCCTCACTCAAGTCCCACGAGTTCTAACGCTGGCTCATGGGGAGGAGTATGTGAGCAGGAAAGGCAACACTGGCTATAGGCCACTTGCAATCCACCAGGTCCAGTTTCAACTGCAGAAGCTGCCTGGGAGGTCTGACCACAGCTAAACTAACTGGACGGCTCTCCTCCCTCCCACCCTGCTTGAACACCCGGCACTTGTGTTACATTACAGCTAGCCGCAGCTCACCTAGCAGCAAAGTGAATTTATCTGGCAGGGGAAACAAAGTCTGCAGCGAAGAAAAAAGTTTTCTGGCAGATCAATGACCTGAATCAACTCACCTTGTAGTGAGAATATCAGATTTGATAATAAAAGGGGAGCAGAAAACTGTGAACAAGAGGGCAGGAAACTGTCCCCTTGGTGGCACTTTGCAAAATATAAAAATAATTTTAAAAAAAGAAAGAAAAAGCAGTCCTTATTCACAGTAATGGCTGCTTAAACTTCACCAAGAAAAGCACTGGGTCGCTGGGTCCAGCCAGAAGGGTGAAATTCCTGGAGTTTGCTTCAAGGTTGTCTGAGCAACTAATGTGTCTCTTAGCCTTGGACAAGGGCAAGACAGAGAGACCGAGACTGTAAATTCTTTTTGTGCATTTAGAATACTAATAAATGTGGGTTTAATTAAAAAAAATTAAGTCACACCCCAAATTTTCAGTTGGCTCAGCTGTTTACCTATTAGACTATTCACCACCCAGTGAGCAATAGCACCAGGGCTGTACAAGAGGAGGGTAGGAACACGTTCCCCAGGGCTCGCCACTTCATCCGCCAGGAAGCCTCATCCTAAATTCCTCCCGGTGCGAGCCTTGACTGGGCTTGGCTGCCTTTGCCACTGGTGGCTGCAGCTTCAGAAGGGGACGCGCAGATGGTCCGTATCCCATTCGGCCTCCGAGAGAGGCACCGGTCCCGACCGCAACGAAAGATGCCAACCTTCTGCCTCGAATCCGCGTGTCTCTTCTGCTGCGCCGCGGGGCCCAGCTTCTGGCACGCCAGGCGGGCAGGGAGCCCGCAAGGCTGCGACTCCACCTTGGCCACGCTCCACCCGCCGCCCTTCGACGGTCATCAGGCAGGCCCTCTAATCGCGGCGGGGAGCGACTGCCG